AGCCGAACATTGCACATTGCAGGGATTCCACTGATAACATTAGCATTGCGAATCTGTGAAATTTGTTGCGTGCGACATGCCCACGCGACGGAGCAGATTCCACTTAACTACAGCAAGGTTGTATATAATGAAAATTGCGCATACGTCCTGTGCACACACATTTGAATATGTGCGCGTGCATATATATAGCATTCATAATGCATTATGGCATGGTGTTTGGCTCACCTTTATAAACAATTACCAAACCGGCAGCCGCCAACACTGGCAACCAGCTAGTTGGTTGGGTGGCTGCACGCGTCACTTGATGTTCAATTATATTATATGTATATATAGAAAGTGTTATAAAAAGCGCTGCAGACTTTTAGGTGGGCGCTTCTAGGACTAGATACATAAATAGCTCGTGTTGTCGGCGTTGCGTTGCTTGCTGCTGCTCTCGAAGCTTAAGGATTTACATTAATATTGTAAACACAGCAAAATAATGCTGTTAATATTTTGCTTCTATATATAAAGAAGGTAGATCTTCATTTCAAAACGTGCGGATAAGCTTTTGTATTCTACAGAAAACTTCAAATGTGTAATTGTAAATAATTTTTATGAAATTAGCGACTCAATTTGAGTTACGGTTCGATTGCATTAAGGAGAAGAAATTGTGTAATTTTGTAAAATAAAGAAGTTCGAAAATGCTGCTTAAAAGTGTAACTATATAATATATATCGATGCTCTGCACTATGTGAGCTAGATAGTCGAATTTGCAGTGAACGTGATTGAAAAGAAATACTGACCTTTACGCCCAGTCCGATGCTAGTTAGCTGTGCACCCACATCAACTGCAGCAAATAATGAATGTGATGACAACGTTGCATACACAAGTAGAAATTTCAAAGATGGGACCACAGCTGCACATGGGACAGATGCAATGAATGTGGCATAATCCACTTTCAGCAACTTTTAATTAAATATCGAACTGTATACGTTTCCATTGCAAAAACAGACCCACACATGCATACATCAGGTGTCGGATAAATATGCGTGGCATACGTACGAGTACGTGGCATTTATGAATGCCATGTTCATGTTCAGTTTCAAATTTGCTGGTAAAATAAAATTAGATTATCCCACGCATTGACATTGAAACATGTTTGATTTTTGTCATAAAGGTCAGACGAAGCAGGCGACGGAAATGAAAGACCACTGTGCGGCTGCAGTTGCACTCTGTCTGATTAACTCTTATTAGACACGCTCTCATCAGGTCCTGATTGTATTTTGCAGTGTAATCCAATTAAATTAGTTCAAAGGCTACTTAAACTTCTATAAATTTGCCATAGTTACCAGAGCTTGTTAGCAAAAAAAAATGTCCATGTTTGAAACTTGTGAGAAAAAATGTGTTTTGCTTTGATAAAGTGCAAAGTTCAACTTTGAATGAGCGTTGGCAGCGCCATCAACTCTCACCTGCAGCTGCATTATTCGCATGACCTTTAAGACTAAAGACTATCTTTAAAATAATCGGAGCCATTTGCTTTTGATAGAATTTCTATATTTTTGTGTGCCATTTTAGCATACCATAAGATTTGTTTGCTTGACGCCCACTATGCAAATTAGGCGGAGGCTTCTGATAATGTGCTAGGGACCCACTTGATATAATGATGACAGCAATTATGAATGAGCGAAGGTCGTTGTAGAACGAGCGTCAGGCAATTCATCATCATGTTAAGCCGCGCTGGACGTAGCTTTGTCTTCACTCGTATATATTTTCTATGGATATTTGAAAGCGAGCTTCCTTTATCTGGCTTTTAGCGAGTATGGCGTCTTTCATAGTAGTACTTTGCTATTATTTTGGCATGCAAACAAATGATGACGTCATTCCGTCAGCCCCACAATTTGCATGCAAGCCGGTCGTTTACTAAGGAGTCCCCTTGCTAACTTGCAGTTAGTTCTTTCCATTTACTAATACGCCTACCTTCAAACTATAGCTGAGACGTATTCCGAGTGAACCCATTCAGGAAAGGCCTACTGCTAAAACCTCAACACAACAATGCATACGTCATGCGAGCACAGGGCTTAACTTCCGCATGGGTAACAAATGTATACATGTATACATACATATATATATATATATATGTATATATATATATATATATATGCGTACGTACGAGTGTGTTTTTTAAGGAAATCAATCATCCAGAAATAGATCAATTCGTCGTAGTCGCCAGTGCCATCGACGTTGTCCTCGTTCTTGTGGACATGTTCAGGTCTGTTGCGTCGCTGTCGTCATTTGGGGCCACTGTTTGAATTTGGCCATTGTTTTTATTGTACTTCCTATCGCGCTCGTACTTTGCATCTGTTCGCCACGCTAAGCCATCGAAACGTGGCAACAAAAAAAATAAAACGAAACAAAACAAAACAAAACGTGAAAACAACAACCAGAGCTTTTCACTACAGGCGGTCACCGTGACTTGCCGAGTGACAAGGATATTAGTCCGCTGAGCGTCGTAGAACCCCGAGTCGCGCACTTTAAAGTCTGCTCTTGACAGTTGCCTTCTCCCTCGACTTCGACCAGGGGAATGCGTCAATTTGGCATAATAGCCCTGTCAATGGCTAGATAACTCATCGTCCATGTTCGTAATTGCATTTAAATTTAATGAAAAACAAACCACAAAAGTGCCAATCCTCAGCGCATTTTCAATTAAATTATCCATTTGTAATTTCAGAGAATGAGTTAATGGACAGCTAAGATATGTTAATCGTAAATGTAACTTAAAGCTATTTCTGCTTTATGTACTACGGCTAGCAACAACAAGAGTTTAAATTACTAAAAAAAGTTAATGAAGGCCAGCTCTCACCGGAGACATGTGTAGAACTATATTTTCAGACTGATTGATTGATGACGCACAGCCAACATTATGCGAGCCAAGCTGAAATGCCGATGCGGGGTCTACTAATTCTATGAAAATGCTTGCTGCTGCCGGCAGAAATAGATTTGGCACACTCCATAAAGTATGTAACATATTTTCTTCATCAGGGTGACACACTGAGTTAATCTGGCGATGTTCTTATTACCACTTCCATCTCGTAAACCATACGCATAAAGCTAGGGATTTTAAATTGTATCCACACAAGGATTTTCTATATTTTAGATTTGGGATACCTTCAAAAATCCTTTCCCATTCCCTTACTTAACGTACTGTGCTTTATAATATACACAACTGGTCGTCATTACTACGCCCGCATATTTTATTAAGAAAGTGTCGGTTAGAATAACAGTAATTGAATAATTAATTTCTCATGCTGCCTCTAAGCACAGCCGCAGTGTAAGATGTGAAGCGCGTGCTTATACGTGGGTGTGTGTGTGTTAGTGTGCAGTATAAAAAAAGCGTAGAATGATTGGAAAAGCAGCACTGCTCAGGGTATCCTCTAGTCGAGTACTACCGCTTCGATCTTTCTTAGTTGTTTCAACTGCAGTTACTTGAAGTGATTTACTTGATGCATTTCGCTGTATTTTATTTGTAATTTTGTACTTTATGATATCCTCTTTAACTCAAGTAAGTAATTTAAATAAATTTAGTTTGTTTAATATTGTGTAAATTTTTTAAAAATTGAATTCTCTAAAACGCTTATTTGTTCGTTTGTTTGAATTATATACTATGTATCTGAATGATGTCGACTTCATAGAAATATTAGTGTATTCTGATATGGGACATATAGTTTAACTATATTGTTGTACAGAAAACAATAAAATAACAGTCATCTGACGCCAGCGTATATTAGCCAAATGTGTAATCAAGCCACTGGTGCTAGACGCTATATAAATAGATGGGCGCTAAGTCTGAAAGGAAGTAAGCATTTTATAGCATACAATTGAGCGCTAATCTAAAACTTACTTTGCCCAAAATAGTAATCATCATAATAAAATTGGCTAAAAGTTTTTGGCCTCGTGTCGGCAAATTGAACTCAGTCACAGGTGCTGCCGTAAACAACAACAGCAACAATCACAACAACAACAGCGACTCGAGCAAGAACGACGTCAAAGGCGACGACGACGACAACGAAGACGTCATTGTCCTCATGCCGAAGCTTTGTCGTGCCGACTTTGCTCATTTTCATTCATTCACAAAAATTCGCCAATGCTATTAATCACCCAGTCCCCAGTCCCCATTTATCCTATATTTAGGGTATATAGTGTATGTATAGGATATATATGTATATATATAGCCAAGCATAACAATAAAATCAAGAGCAATTCTGAATCAACAGTGCGTCACCAAAGCCGAGCAACCAGCAGTCCCTATTGATTGCCTTCACGTGGCGATACTTAAGTTTACTTCACTGCCCCAATCGCCGATTCCCCCATTCTGAGTGCTTTATTTCGTCCTCCTCTAAATAGTACTCACAATATCTGCAGACACGTCTGAAGTTTGTCGGTCGTAAATATTTTGGGCCGCACTTTCGGTTCGAAACTTGCACCAAACATGTTACGTCAATGAGCTTTAGTAGTCAGCAATTAGGCAAATGTGGTTGTTAACACATTTGCCTAAAGGATCTATTTTATTCTTTGAGGAAATATTTTGAATACGGCCTCGCCTAAAAGAGAGATAAATTAGAATTGTTGCGCAATTATTAAATGAAATCTTCATTCCAAAATTGGTTAGGCAATAATGATGAAAGGTGTGCTAATTAATGTCGAATTTCGTGGAGTTGAGCAAAAGGTCAGGTTCGTTTCGTGGTTAATTTAAGGATCCCAGTTGTCCAATATAATATAAGAATATATAATTGTTAAAGCAGACGGGCCGAAAGCCACAGTTCCCTAGCCTGTTTTATGCTAGCCTACTGCCTTACCTCGACTCATAGACTTCCCTCTGACCTTAAGCAATGAAGATGCCTCACGCATAGTTTCTGAGAATATCTTGCTCCACACTGAGCCACACGTATGCGTACAAGCTTTACAAATAGTTAAAATAATCACACCTGTTTAATTTGCTCTCTCTCTTACTCTATATATTGCAGCCCAGCCATGTCCGACACGAGCAAGTCAAATAACAATGCAGCCAGCTCGTCGAGCGTAGATGGGGATGCCGGCGATGTCACACCGACGACGACAATACCACGCAGCAATCACAATAACAACAACAGCAGCAAATTGAAATCAACGCAGAATAGCAGCGGCGGCGGCAGCATAGACAAACTGTCACCGGATCAGGATATTTACATAAACGCCGCCGACGGTCTACCCAGTCAGCATCCGACACTGCCCCCTGAAGCAGATGTGGATACCGATACTGAGCCGGAGGTGGATGCTGACTCCTTTGATGATCTGCCCACATCGATCATAGTGACCAACATACACTCGGAGGTGTTTGCAAATCCCGAGCTAAAACAGGCCATGGAAGAGCTGTTCCGTACCTTCAGCGAGTCCGCCACTTTCCAATGGCTGCGCAGCTTTCGCCGGCTGCGGGTGAACTATGACAATGCCGTTGCGGCAGCTAATGCACGCATTAAACTACATCAATACGAGTTTAACAAAAAGACGGTGATCACCTGCTACTTTGCGCAGCCGGTGACACCCGTTAACAACAAGAATCTACAACCACCGGCGCCGGTCAAACAGTTCCTTATCTCTCCGCCCGCCTCGCCGCCAGCCGGATGGGAGCCACGCGAGGAAGGAGAGCCGTTGGTCAATCACGACCTGCTCGCTGCATTGGCCAGCTTGACACCCGGCGAATCGCACGAGCTACATCCACAGAGTGAGGATCAGCCAGCAATTATTGTGCACACCGCCGTGCAACCAGACACCGGGGGCGTCGGCACTGCACTTCAGGCCAAAGCACCTATTGTACAAACCAAATGTCCGGAGCGCGCATAAGCGCCAAGCTAAGAGCTTAAAACGGAATGCTTGGCGGCATATGCAAGAGCCAGCGCCAGTGCCAGCATACCACGGCCAAAACTGAGCATCGCTACAGGAGGACTAAGAACTATGGAATTTCAGATGAATGAACATTTGGTCATCGTGGATGGGCAGCGATGGGGGCAACCTGGCGGTTGAGAGTATTTTTTGTAAATAATTTCTATAAAAAAATTCGATTGTGATTAATTTACACGTAGCTATGTTTTATATTAAGTAATTGTACTCTCACGTTTGGAGCGTTTCAAGTTTCGGTTTCCCGTTCCCGTTTGATTTGCCTCGTGCGTTGCCGTCGAGCATTTACCAAATATTAGCTTATCTTAAGGTACGCCAAGTGGAGCTGTTAATTCCAATTGATTCTAGATGTGTTTGTTGTTTGCATACGAAGTCGCGTTGTCTCTCTCTTGGTGTCTGTTTCTAATTGTATCGATGTGGCAATCCACACAATATCTAAATGTACCTTCATGCTAAAACACAAATATATATACAAATAAAAAAGAACTCTATATGTTTGCAAGTAGCTGCAAAAACGAACTTTGCACTCAAGATAACGAAGCAGTCGCAGACAGAAATTCAGTTATGAATATATGTATATGTTCAGTTATATATCTGTGTATATGTAAATGTTAATCTAATTGTAAGCCAGAGAGAACTCAGATAGCTATATCTGAAATTGAAATACGTATAGATGTATACATATTAGCTACAAAAACGAGTAAATGAAATACGAAATTATATTCAAATTTGAAATGATTGTTCTCAATTGTACCAAAAAACCTAAAACAAAAACTATTTTAAACAGAAAACTATACTAAAGTCCTTTAATTAACGTGCGAAAACCTGAATAATTTGCATTACATTTGCCATTTGTTTGCTCTTTCTGTAGCAATTACCCGGAACTTGTTAGCGCCATTAGTGGCTTTTATATACTTATTGTGTGTATTCTACAATTCCATTACTGCCTTTTATTTCAGCTAAATAATACTTAATTCGCTTAAGTTTGCTGCTGTTTTCACCGAATTATTATTAATTAACAGAAGGAAGACCTCCAAAATAATGATTTATGGCAAGGAATACATCTGCAAGCTACTATCAGCGTGGGGATATAATTCGTGTCTCGCACTCTTGCAAGAGCTGAGGTCTAACCAAAATGCTAATCTGCGATACATACTTTGATTGTTACTAAAGCTGGCAGGGTTAAAAGGTGCTGAGCTGCCTTCAACATCGACTCGAAGCATTGTTGCCCACTACAGGCGTGAGCAGTGGACAGGTTTTTACATATTCAGTTTGCAATTGACATTTTAGCTGAGCTTTAATATCTAGAAAAGCAACAGCCAGCCACTGTCAAATCTTAGATTTAACAAGAATACTAGCATACTTTTAAGCTTTATCCATTTGTAATATTGTCATGGTTAGAGAATTAGCTATTCTGGGTCACTGGTCACTGTGACAACTCAACTTCTTGGAGCTGCAGCCCACGTTTAAGAGATTTTCTTTGGAAAACTGTTGGAAACGTTTTAGTGCTACATTTCGCTTGAAAACATTTGAAATAAAAGTGAGCGGCTATGACCTCAGTGCATATCTTTGGTCCACAGATTCACTAAGGCGAACTTCTCGCTTTATTAACATGATGAAGCTTAACTAAGGTCGTGTGAGTGTGGGTGTCGTTGTGGCTGTGTAGGCGTGTCTTATGAGAATGCTTAACAAAAAAAAACTTTGGCATTTCTATTTACTTTCGATGGTTTTGAGCGGCACCATTTGCTCGGGATCGTCGGGATAAATACTATCCTGGCGCGGCTTGCGGCCAGCACATTGACTGAACCAGGTATCACCCTTGCCAAAGTTCTCGCCATCCTCAATGGACTCTGGCATGGGCTTGTTCATTGTTTCCGGCAGGAACATAACCCAGAAGCCTGACACTAAGGCAACCACACCGAACAGCACAGCCGGAATCTTGGGATCAAATGAATCGCCGAGCAGAGTAATCAAGGGCGTCAGTGCTCCGGAGAGACGGGCACACATTGATCCCAATCCCATGGCTGAGTTGCGCACCACTGTGGGAAATAGCTCCGCCGAGTAGTTGTAGATGACAGCAAAGGATCCAGCGATGAGCAGCTTGCCCAGCATCACCACACTTGTGGACAGAGTGGTGCCCTGGGCTATGAAGGCGGCCACAATGCAGCAGAGGCCGCCACTTAACATCAGAGTGGATGTGATGGAGCGACGTCCCAGACGATCCAAGACAAAAACAATGGTAATATAGCTGGGGAACTCCACCAGACCCATGAGGAACAGTATGAGATAGGGATTGCCATAGAGCTTGCCAGCGCTCAGCGACAGGCCGTAGTAGACGATTGAGTTGGCAAACCAACAGAGGCACACGTTCAGCGTCTTCATCCGCAAATTGGGCGTGCGGAAGAGATCGACGAGACCGGCACTGGACTTCTCCTCAACAGCAGCCTGTTGCTTGGCCTTCTGCACATAGTAGTCCTTGTCGATGGGTATGCCAGAGCCATTGATGCGCAGTCCCTTGGCCACAATATCCACTGCCTCGGCTGCACGTCCCTGCATCCACAGCCAGCGCGGTGACTCATCCATCAGCCACCAATGAGCTAGAAACAGGCAACCGTGCAAGCCATACACCACCTGAAGCATTTGACGATCCTTGATAATGGCACCCCAGCCGGCAACGAGCATTATGCCACCAGCAAACACAGCCTGTAAGACCAAATACATTTCATAAGAAGACTCGTATTATATGCCAATTTAAATAGGCTTGTTTAGATTCCGAATATATCTTTTTACGGTCCAAGCTTCAACATCTCATTAATTTCTTATTAATGACAAATTTTAGGCTCACCTGAAAGGTAATGCCGCAAACTGTCCGTTTGGTAGCGCCCACCAGCTCCATGGTCAGTACAAAGCCACATATATAGGCACCAGCAGAGCCGACTATGCCCAGCACAAAACGCGCCACCATGACCGAGAAGTATTCCGGGATGAAGGCCACGCCCACACCGACAAATAGCTGCAGCAGCGCTGACCAGCAAAAGACGGTCTTGCGACCGACCTTGTCAGCCAAGCCACCCAACGTGACTGCGCCCGTGAAGGTGCCCAACATGAAGACCGTCTGAATGATGGCGCCCATCCAGCGACGATCGCAAACGAAGTCCCAGTCTATGGTGCGCGACGTCTTATAATACGTTGTATCGTACACATACTTCTCGCAGGGTATCTGGCTCTGATCCCCAGCGCTCGCATTGAACATATGGCACGAGTCCAGCTCGCCAGATGGCTTTAATGGAATGGCTTCAAGAATGGCGCTGGAGTTCCAGGGCAGCTGCGATAAAGTGCTGTTATCCACGCCAGCAATGAAGCAGCGATGCTCGGGCACAGAGGCAACAGTCACCAAGGACAGCATATGCATGCCCGCTGTGAGAGCGGACAGCACTTGCAGGAAAAATTGGGCAAATTGATATTTACCGAACTCGCCTTAAAAACAAAAGTTAATCAGTTAATATTTTAATCTTAATTAAATAAAATTATAGACACTGCCTAAGACGCAAGTTGATAATGCAATTCCATTCTTCCGAGTGGCTTATCACAATTAATTTACCAGACTTAAAATTAAAAGATTTTGCTTTCTCGACACTTGAACTAGTTTGTGGTGGAATTTGCCCACTGGAACTGTGATATGAATATCCTAAATTGCTAAATTCTGATAGCTATCAAAACTAACTAGAGGATGAAGTACTGTCTTAGCCACTAGGATTACATTCTTATAATAACTATAATCAATTTCAGCGAAATTTGAAAGGAGTGACCAAGATTTCAGAAAATACTTTCCGGATGCAGAATATTTTTGGCAGTGCTAACTTCGAATCTATATTAGCCCAATCAGAAGACCTCAACTGCAGAAAAAAGTTAGAAGAGTTCGTAAGCCCCAACTGTTCCAAATGTATTTTCATCGGCAATTATATTAGAAAGCACTTGTGTTTGCTTTATTTAATTAAAGTAATTCCAACACTAGTGCAAATCGGTATCAAATGAATGAGCTACGATAAGCGAGCGAGGCGCATGCCACTTGGTGAGTATTTCGACGAGTGGTATTCACGCTGATTCAATAAAGACTTCAATTGCAAATGAATATATAATTAGTATAGGTCATATAGCTTTAAAATTAATGCTATTAGAGTAATTGGATTATCCACTTTCGCATGCCATGCCAATCCTTGTGCTATAACCAGTTATGGCCACAGAGTTGTTTGTGTTGCCAAATTGGGTTATCAGATATTTTTCGTTGGGCGTATCTGAACGCGTTTAACGGCGCCGATAGAATTGTCGTCACTCGGGAGACATTGCAATTAAATCAAGTGGAATTTATTCAATTCGATTTCAATTGAATGGCATACAAATGCGCGGTAAACTGTTTGTCAACAGTTGGTTTTGCTTTTCTTTTTTTACTATTCTCTTTTATGTTTTATGTGAACCATTGGCGTCGTTATATGCTTGTATGCACTGTACTGTGCTGTACTGTGTTGTACTGGCTGTGATCTGACTTCTCGAGGGCAGGCACTGTGTAAATTTCTTTGGACGTAGCCTAGATATTTGTCACTTGAACGGTCCAATGTTCAATCGGCAATTACAATTGATTTGCGCTACCAACTACTATAGCAATATCAATATTGATGTGTTCAACTAGCTCAGTAGACAGAGAGACAAACATCAGCCGAATGTCAGAAAAGTTACAGACACTTCCCAGACTGATACCATTGTCTAAGAATTTGTAAAACTACTCGAGCGATCACACAATAAGTGTAAAATTATGTCACAGATCTCTCGCACAAAAATAGTTTTTAATTAATACCAATTCGACATTCCGACAATCTTTAATTAAATTCAATTGCGACTCTATGCATAATCAGAAAGACAGGCCACAGAGCCATCGATAGGTAACGATATTGAAAATGAATGTGAAAACAAACGGACGAATGGGAAATCATAAGGGATTATCAGAAATCAGTCCATCAAGTATAAACTGATACAGTACCACATCGGTTTATGGCTTCATTGTGGGATTTACTGCGCTAGATGTTCGGCCGGGTTTATTGCAGCACAGCCCTTGGTCACAATGACACACACGAATTGTTTATTTGGCTAATCAAACATGACATAAAACATGTATGTGCAATATACTGTCATCATAAATGGAGCATATTGAGCACGTTGTTATTATTGAATAGATAAAAGAGGATTACTATATTGCTCTTTGACTCTCAATGAGAACAAAAGCCGTCAACAGATTGTTAAACAAATTAAAACTTAACCAATTCGAAAACCATCAATGATTGATGCATTAATCTTTCACTCGAGTAAAGATAGACATAAACTAGCCAATCTGAATAACTATTATATACAGTTACTTAGTTCAATAATACGAAGCTATGAAATAATTAAAATCCCCTTCAGAATTCATACTGCATTTTGGTTTCATTCTCCATATCCACGAGGCCATTTGAAGCGAAACCTTTTTTGACATTGATTTATAATTTATATTTGCAATCCATGTGCAGTACTAGGCTTTTAATTACACACACACACACAATAACTAACTTATTGCACAACTGTGAGCCACAAAATGAACAATGCCAAATGTTGCACAAACGAACGGAATGCATCAGCTGTGGTTGGGCCCACTGCAAAATGCGGCTGTATGGATTGTATGTGGTATTTTGTTGGCTGGTGGATTTTTTGATATTCATATGCATAGTCAAAAATTTGTTTTATAATTGCCAGTGTGTTACAGCGAGTAATTGGAATAATCTGTGTTTATTATATTTGTTCTAGGCCAGTAGCCAGATTATCCAACAAGCGATTCTAAATAAATGTAAATATAAACAAAAGAGACCGTTCTATATTTAAGTGTGTAAACTTGACCTAGACTACGCCCTGATTCTATTTCGAAGCAGCAGGTAAATCGCAACAGGTTGCACTGAATTATCATAGCAAAACCAATTTCCATTACAGAAAAGTTGGCCCGACACTTATATAAAATATATATATATATATATTAATATTATATATATTATATATATATATATATATATATATATAGCTGAAAAAACACACTTTGCTGATAAATATATGAATGAGTCGAATAAAAACAAATTCTCTGCAAAACATAAGGACCTTTGCCCCCTCAGAATACAATCGAACTCTTATCGCCATAAATATTTTTATACATATATTTAATTGTGTTTCTTTTTTTTTTGTTTGTTACTAAACGGGAAGGCCATGCGGCATTGCCCAACAAATTTTGGTAAATACAATTTTTTATATATATATTTTTTTTTATGCTTGAGTCATGTTTTGAATGACACAGCTAAAAGCAGAACTATTAAAAAGTCACGGAACGAACAAACCATTTAGATCTCACCTTCACTGAGAGACAGAGCAGAGCAAAAATTAAAATAATAATAAATAAATTAAGAAAAGTATAAAATTTAGAAGAAACTAATTGTATAACCTGTTTGTGGACTTTCGAATTTCTTGCCCTCTTACGTACTTGCGATATAGATACAATATATTAACATATACTCATAATGTCGTTACTCGAAGGAAAAAGTGGCTAAGGCGGTCGTTAGTCTCTTACCGGTTGGCATCGAATGACAAAAACTTGTTTTTAACAGGCCTGCCTGGGCTCCTCAAGGCTTTAAATTCATATGCTTTGATTTGAAAACTCTTGCAAAAATGCAGTTTGCGTACTGCTGCTATCCAATTAACCAATAAGTTCAGTTATAAAAGTATAAAACTGATTCAAATCGGGCACTGATAAGCCTAACTATTTATGCCTTTAGTGTTTACACAATGCTAATTAAAAATGATGTAAGTTTAGAATATAAGTAGAGCGCAGTGCACACAACTAAAGATATTTACGTTACTATTTAAATATTTTAAATGGCTTTCCAGCTGCTCGCTTTTAGTTATAAACGTGTAAATTACCCGAATAAACCGCAATCTCATTCTAAACTCAATAAGCAGCTCATCTGTAGCCACGTGACGATGCCGTCTTTGTGGTTTGCATGCCGCAGATACGTTTGTAAAAGTATATTAATATTATATTAACATATAGGTTCGATTAGAAGCGATCGATGACTGACGATCGACGATTTCGATTGGAGCTTTGTGTGAATACAGATCTGTGTATAGTAAATTGTAACAGTCAATCCGTCATGCACGTCGCTTAACCTTGAGATGATTATTAAATAAGCAGACTGCGGCAATTAAAATTGTATTAAACTTGACTGACCAGCGAGGGTAATTAAAAATATGAAAGATTACAGCATATATATGAAATCAAAGGGCCGGACATATATCAAAGAGATAACAACATTCCGCGTCTGATAATTAAAACTGACAGCCGGATAACTGAATCTAACGTGCTCTTAATACATGTTCTATTTGGATAAACGGAAACGACGCAGTCGCCGTGCACTTGATAAGCGCACGCATTGCTGATATGCCACTGATAAGAACAGCCAGTTGCCGGTTGGTAGCTGGTTTGGAGAAGGGATTGACCTATCTACTCACCCAGTTTGCCCATTAGCTCCTCTAAAACGTAATCCACAGCCATTTCTGATTGGATAACTATTTCAATTTATTTTCATGTGTATTTTATTGTTCCAGGTGGGAAATACGTTCCCTATTGATTCAACTGCTTATCAAGTGATAACAATTTGCATCTTCTGGTAGCTTATACTTGTTTGCTATACAATTTTTGCAAGTAGGGACTGGGATTATCAGAGCCACGAGAGGTGGGACTGAGACTCCAAGCCGTTTGTAACGTGCGCTGGAGATTGGCAAGCGCCGCCGTGCTGGCAAAAAGCTAAATGCGAACTGAATGGGCTTTGAGTACGCGAAATGAGTTTCGAGTCGTGACTGAATAACACTCACACACATCCACACATACATATCATATAAATCCAACAAATACTCACACACACAGATAACGAAACGCTCCCGCCGATATGTGTGGAAGACCTCGACGATTGACAATTGAGAGTGGATCGCGATGTTTGACTGTTTGCTAAATGTATTGTGGTCGTCTTTGTTGTTACTATTCCATTCTGTGACATAATTCTAGATCGATAAGCCTACAAATCAAGAGAGAGAGAGAGAGAGAGAGAGAGAGAGAGAGAGAGAGGGAGAGAGAGAGTGCTATAAATCAGCATCATGTGTTTCCAAGCAATGTGTGGATCGCAAGATTAAATGTAGATTACATCGAGGTGCCCAGTATCAGAGAGCCAAAAAAAAAGTTTAAACATTATCAGAGCTTGAAGGCAAGTCTTATTAATTATGCGATATGCATTAAGTTACACTGATAATCACTTCCTGTAACTGGCTTACAGGTATTCAGGTATTACAGGCTTATACATATACATATTTTTTTTTATTTATATATATAAATTATATGATTATATATTTATAAATTTAAATAAAATATAACTATTTAGCAATTGTGGGAACTCTGAGTTTACACTTAAAAGTTATTTTGAACATTTTTCACCTTCATTTCTCAGCAACCTTTCCGTAACAACTTATTGTGGAACTGATACAAGGCACATCCTCATATATTTCCCTTACATTTTTCATACATATGTATTGTATCCTTGTTTGTTTTTCCGTTACTAAATTTCAACTTTTATTAAAATTTTTAAAGTGTTAAAGTTTTGCAATGAGTGACCCATTCATTGCGGACCCAATGTCCTTTTTATACTTGGACATTCTATGTACGGTTTTATTAGAAGACACCGAAGACGCGGTGGAAGAATTTAATTTAAAAATGAATTTGATTCGCGAACAGGAAAGCATTTGTGTGGAGAATGGAAAGAAAGTAATATATTGAAACTGTTGAAAATGAAATCGTATTTTGAGTCTCAACTTAATTTGCATTCAGCTCGTTTCCGTGGATCAGTTCATAGGCTCAATGAAGACATGTATTTATCAAACAGAGCTCGAATTGCAGGAGAACGAAGCTCAGTTGGTTGCAATCGAGAGACTTGTTTCACGCTATGAGGCCAGCAACTTGGTTTTTTTAAAGAGCCCAGAGCTAATACCTCTGATACCCAACAGCTATATGGCATTCCTTCAGCTACTTTTATCGGCAGATCGATCGACTGCACAATGTAACAGCCTAAAAGAAGAGCTTACGGTCTACAACAATGACGCTATTGATCATTTGGAGTGCCCGAATTTGGTGAGCAAATTGTTAATCCGTGTACAGAAAGCACAAGTTTTTCACACAAGTTATTTCCATAGATCACTCAGATTATGGACTACCATTTGAAAGCGCTAAATACACTGGAGAATAAGTTGGATAAGCTGCAAAGGTTGGTCCAAAATGTGGACAAAAACTATAAAGCAATAACCAAAAAGCTACAAATTAACAGCTTAAGTAACAAGTGCTCCTGTGACATGGCCAATATAATCAATGACGAGTGCGTGAACTGAGCGCTATCAACCGCAGCTTAACTGTTATATATTTCAAATTCAACATTCAGTTTAATGATTTATATGATACATGTGTATGAATAATTAGTCAATTAAATGCTTTCAAGTTCAACTTTGTTCTTAAGTCTAAGAAGATTATGCAGATATTTGGCTTGCTAATTGTTAGTTGTTAGTTCGAGTCACGGAAGAACAGCACATCGTCTGCTATAATGCTGGTGCTCGTCTTCTGGTTGCCCTGCTGATCGGTTATCTCGCCGTATGTGATCTTGCCCTGCACCATGGTACGCTGCCCTTTTTTCAGGTACTCCAGCACAGTGTCGCGCAAATTGGGTTTGAAGACAACCACTCGATGCCAGTCGGTGCGTTGTGCCCAGTCCCCATTCTCATATCTGTAGAGAGAAATACACTTGAACAGTTTCTTTTTAAGTTTGCCAACTATTTTACATTTCCACTCACTTGTAATTGGTGTGAGTAGCCACTGAGAAGGTGACCACTGGATGCTCCTGCGAGCCACGTAGTTGTGGATCTGCACCCACACGTCCCAATATAGTTACCGTGTTAACAGCTATAAATGTGAAATTGATATGAGTTGTTGGTCAAGAAACGTATATTCGATGTATCACGTACTTTTTTCAATTTTGGCGGGCGCTGGGGCCGTCGTGCTTGCAGCACCTCGTGCCGGCAAAGTCCAAAATCCATTTATCACTGGCCTAAGCTGTAAATTCAAATATGTATACCATCCTATGAAGATCGTTTGTTAGAAGCTTTAAAATATTTATCTTACAATGCGTCTAGTTTGTTGCATCATTTTTTATGCGTGATTTGTAAAGCGGCAATGCGATTTTAATTTTTGCAAACAGCTGATTGTGACAAATGCGGCCAACTTAAGCTGTTACCTGTGGCGCACTCTGGCGGAAATTTGGTGAACATATCGACTAGTCGATAAGTTGTCTTTGAAACAAAAATAATTAATTCTTTCGATCTTTTTAGAAATATTTTTATTTATATATTTTAAAAAGAACTGTTACAAGAATATTAATAGCAATCTAAGTTTTGTTAACATATTAGAAGTATTTCTCCCATTAGTTTCTTCAATGACCTACCCCCATATTTTTGCCACCAGTATTGGTTATATTTGAATAAGATTGAAGTGGGACGCTAATTGGAATTTTGATTTTCTCTATCAGATATTTGGCGAACTACTACTTGTTCGCTATTCAAAGTTAGTTGCTGCGACACTGTAGCATTGGCACTCTTATGTACTATTTTAAGTTGAAGCGCGCTCTATTGGATATATTTCAAAACAGAAAACCTACAGTACACCAAGCGGCTATCCATGGAGTTTATAGATAGTACAATTAACGGACGTCAGGAGTGCTATAGTTATTTATATGTTTCACAAACTTGATTTAATGTTGGGTTCTCTGTCTCAAATAAAATACAACAGAGGCAAAAAGATCTTTTCGAAAAAGTTAAGTTAAAGCAAAGGTCCCGCCCATTCCGGTTAAATTTTAAGTTAACTTTTCTGTGTTTGGCAAATAATTTGTCTAGCAATCAGCAAAAACTTACATATGTACATAATTTTTACACATGGAATAAAACCAATCGATAATTTGATAGTAAAAGAAAATAATAAAAACATCTAAGAGTAAAAATATATTACACTATTTAAGTATTTCACTTTTAAGTGGATTAAAGCGGAATTACAGAACGAACTTCTTGCCTCCATTAAATAATATCCACAGATGTACATAGAAGCAAGGCGAAGCATTGCTGAACAGGATGTGCGATCGCCGATTGTCTTCGTTTTATTGCCAAACCTTCATTCATGAGCCGCCATTTTGTAGGTCCATTTTGTTTTTGGAACTGCCAATCGGCCGTCAAGGCCCGGGATGTCGACATTGATTTCTACTGAGCAAATCAAGGCAATTGCATCCAGCTGAGGTGAATGTGAAACAAAACGGAAGAGTGAATTCCCTGGTTTTATATATATTCGTTTGTCTTGACTATTGCTGCCACAACTATGCAAAAGCAAGAGCAAGAGCAAGAGCAATACCAATAGCAACAACAATACCCTAAGCAACAACTACACAAACAACCACAACTCTTCGACTTTGCATTCAAATTCAGGCGATGACGACAGTCAACCGATGGAGACGGACGCTCGAGCGGGTGGGCAGATGGCCAGATGAGCAGGCGGCGAAGTTGTTGTCGATGTCGGTGCTGGTATTGGGGCCGGGCTGCTGCCCAAAGAATATTGCCAGACCGAGATCCAGCAAAAGTCTTGAAGCTATTTCACTTGTGCGTCAGAACAGCCGTTTCGTAGGGTATAAACTGACTTAAGTCTTGGAAAACAGATGGATTTTACTGTTAGAAATGTTTAAGATATTATTTTTAAAGTGTGTCAAGTAAATGGAAGCAATGGGTTATTCTGAATTATGAGATTAAAATCTATAAATGTAATCCTTCTAAAATATGAAAAGACCTATAGCAATAACTTAAATAAAGATTGCAAAAAGATAATGTAACTATATCTCTAAGTACTAGTTGACATATATAACTAACTGAATGATCTATTTGTAGAACTGCCTTTTACATTCATATAAAATATTGTTTTTCATTATATAAGAAGTTTTTCTCATTTCTTCCTATATATTGTAGCGCATAGCTATCCCCAGTGTAGCCCCAATCTGAGGCATTATTCATGCTGTCGTTTTCGAGTGCTGCCATCGTCGGTCGGTCGCTTCGACTCGCATCGCCTCGTCTCGCCTCTCCTCTCTCCACTCCTCTCTTCTCTTCTCTTCTATTCGCCATGCTTCGTTTCGTCTCTCTTCGCAATCGTTTGCTGGCGTTGTTTCCAGCGCGCGTGTAGCTAGGCATACATATATGTGTGTGTGAATGTGAGTGTGTATATATATAATTATGTGTGTGTGTGTATATGTGTGGGTTGCGTATCTGTATCTACTGTGTATATGAGGCTATGGCTATGGCTCCGGCTGTTCGCTGTTGCGATACTAACGAACGAACGTCCCAAATGTCGACGTTGCTGTTGCTGTTGTTGCTTTTGCTGCTGTTGTTGCTTTTTATATATTTTCAGTTTGTACAGCGAATTGGCGCGGTGCGGCGCTTGAAGAGGGAGCTGCCTGGTTGCTGGTTGCTGTTGCTGTTGCTGTTGCTGTTGCTGTTGCTGAAGTGGTTGCTGCTGGCTGGGCTTCTCGAGGACGTCCGTTCGTTCATTTCGTATCAATTCGTAGCGTTTCGTTTCGTCTGTTGGTTCGTTTGTGCGTTTGCGTGCAAAAGCAACGAAAACTCTTATTCATTTTATAGTGAAACTCAACTCAACGCAGCTTAAGCTTAATGTACAGCAGCAGCAGCAGCCGCAACAACATTCCAACTGGCAACTGGCAACTGGCAGCTTAAATGTTGCTGCTGTTACGGCTTGGTTCGTTCGTTGGTTGGCTGCCTTCGCCTGCGCGAAGGTTTTTGAAAAACGCGCGCAGCTGTTACGGCGATTGGGTAACATTAGCCTCAGGAACCCATTTAAAGCAAATCAGTATTTGCTCGTTTGCCAGACTTTGCAAAGAACAGAACTTAAAGCCTAATAAAATTGCCTATAAAAAAATCCCCTTCGCCTATAAATGTTTCTCTAGCCCACCCAGTACATAATATATATATATATATATATATATATATATATATATATATGTATATATATATATATATATATATATATATATATATATATATATATATATATATATATATATATTAATAAATATATATATAAATACATATATTTATATATTTATATATATATATATATATTTTTAACATTATATATAAATATTCTATTTAAAATCAATGAAAACTGTGCCTGCATTTGCATTTGAAGCTGACTGCGCACATTTTTACCAAATTTAACAGAGCAACAGAAACTGAAACAGAAACTGAAATTCAACCAAACGAATGTTCGCATTAAAGTTTATTTCGAAACCAACTCACTGGCAGCAGCAGCAGCAACGTCGACGGCAACGGCAACGGCAACAGAGCCAGCAGCAGCAATGGCAACGGCAGCAAAAAAGACCCAACAGCAACGCAAATGAAAAACGCTAACGAACAACGAACGAGCGCACAGAAAGCAGCACACAGCAACAACAACAATAATAAAAAAAAAAAGAAAAAAAATCAAGTAAAATTACGACAAGCAAGAGGCAACAGCGACGGCAGCAGCGAGGGCAGCGGCAGCGGCAGCAACGTTGAAAGAAAACAAGAAACTTCGTCGCAGCAGCAACGACTGTGGGGAGCAGGGCGTTCAAATGGCAGAGAGAGACAGCGAAAGAGGGAGACAGAGAGAGGGAGAGAGAAAGAGAGAGAGAGAACGAAGAAGATGCGGGGAGAGTCGGAGAGAGGCAAGCAGCCGCACAAAGTGTGTGACTGTTGAGTGCCTGTGTGTGTGTGTGTGTGTGTGTGTGTGTGTGTGTGTGTGTGTGTGTGCGGTGGGGCGAAGGTGAAGCATGCGATGGCGATGGTGATGGCGTTGGCTGCTACAACGTCAGGCAAGACTGAGGCGAAAACGACGACAGCGCTGAAAAAACCCAGCAACGAACGAACCAACAGAGCCAGCAAAAATTTATAATAAAAGCAGCAGCAGCAGCAGCGGCGGCAGCAGCAGCAACAACAATAACAACGACAGCGGCAAACGTTGAAAGCAACAACGATAGCGTTGCTTGCAACTCTGAACAGTGCCAGGCCAACCAGCCCGTCAACTATCCAACAAGCAGCACAACTTTAGCTGCCTGCTCAAAGAGAAGCAGCCAAACCCAGCTATACCCTGCAAGTAGTCCAAAGACATGCCATAGCCATATGTGAACAGATATAGAATTGAGATAAAGCTGATCAAACATATTCTATATAGTTGTTATCTGGAGAAGTATACAAGTATTTCAAGGCATATTTATGGAGCTTTGAGATATTAGCAAGAGTCATTAGACTTATAGCAAATTAGTTTTAAGAGCAGAGCACAAGATTTCTTAATATGTGAGCAGTTTGTAGATGATGCAAGTGCCAAATTTATTTATGAATCTAGCTTTGTTGTGTCAAGAAAACATAGATATCTTTTTAGATATTATAGCTACATAAATGCCATATATATGGGAACATATTTAGATATAGTTATTGAAATATTAATAAAATTAGAAAATAGAGCAAATTACTTAAAAATATTACCAGAAGTCCTAAAGCCTCGTATATTGAATTATTTAATGCATAGACTCTGAGCAAGAGTACACAAAATGAAAGAGCGAACATCGTTAGAGTTAAAGTCGTCGTGTTCGTACTCGAATTCATCGTCGCCGTCGCCGTCACTGCGAACTCTGAGCTGAGAACAGAGCACCGACAGTGACCGAACATTAAAGTTGAAGTAAAGTTGGAATTTGTGCCTGGCCCCCTTGCTGCTTGGCCTCCCATGCCCGCCTTTTGTAATCAGAATAAACGAATATTCGCTTAAGCTCTGCACAGTGGTGCCGCAGCTATTCTGGATTAACGAATGCCAATAACTTTGCTTGAGACTTTGACTCGATTCAGTCATATACAAATTGCGGCAAAGGCTTTTAGTCAGGGCAATAGCCATAAGCATGATCGAGGAAGCTGAATACTATGCCAACTACAAGATGAGTTTACAATTCGTTCTCTTGCCCACATTTAGAGCTTTCAATTGCGATTAGATAAATTATGATTAGATAAAAACGGCTTAAGGTTTGGCTTATAGTCAAGCTACAATTCCAGGCTTAAAGCCGCTTTCGGCTTGCCAAATAACATGTTGACCAATATGAGTAGATCCAAAGCATATATTTAATATGAGTTCTGCATGTGTTCCATTCCAATCACGTAGTG